TTTTTTTGGAGACAGTTTAAACTCGTATCAAGAAGTTCTTGATATATTTTTTTTCAGGTAGACAACTTAAACTCGTGTCAAGGAGTTTCATTTTTTTTTTTTTTTTTTCCAGGTAAACAGTTTTAACTCGTGTCAAGGAGTGTCATCGACAGTTTAGGCTCGAATCTAGGAGCACTTCAAGTTTAATAATTTTCTTCAACTTTGTAAGAATTAGACGAAAATCTAAGCTTATACTGGAGGGCACGGATTATCTCGTCGTCACTTTGAGGATTTTCTTCTTGGTTTCCTTAACTTAATGCCCCCTGTGATTTTGCACTTTCGATTGAAGTCATTGTTGTAGCATGGTGCGTTTCTTGATACAAGTCTTTTAAGATGATGCTTACAATGAAAGATGAAGCTATTGTAATACCCCTAATTTTAAAAGGATAGTCTCGGTATTTATTTATTTGTTTTAATTGTAAATTAAATGTTTTCTTTTCTTTTATTATTTTATTTTATTTTTCTTTTATGGTTATGGTTAGTAGTAATGGGCCAACCAATTGGGTCCCATGGACTACTTGGATAGGAGGTTGGATGTGTATGGATTATTACCCATGGATAATGTATGTATATATATAGATATACATTATATACATATATAAAAAAGAAAATAATTTATTAATTATTTTTATGGTAACTTGGGTAGCAATATTTAATCTGATGTATATGTTTTATATTTAAATAACAAAAATATACATAGATTTGATACGTATTATGTTTTAAGTTACTTTATAATATTATGGTAACTTAAGTATTATTGGATAATCCATTAATAAATAATGGAATGTGTATAATTTATTTATTTAATAAACATATACATAAATTATATACGTAACATATTTTACTTACCTTTTTAATATATATATAAAAGAGAAAGTAATTTATTAATTACTTTTATGGTAATTTAGGTAGTAATATTTAATCTGATGTATATGTTTATTTAAATAATAAAAATATACATAGATTTGATACGTGTTATGTTTTAAGTTACTTTATAATATTATGGTAACTTAAATATTATTGGATAATCCATTAATAAATAATGGAATGTGTATAATTTATTTATTTAATAAACATATACATAAATTATATACGTAACATATTTTGCTTACCTTTTTAATATTTTTATTTTCATTTTTTTTAGTTGACTCGGATTGGGAAAACGGTTAGGGTTATTTTATTTAGCCTATAAATATATAGCTATAGGTTGTAAAAGGGGGTTAGAAATATTCACGTGATATATACTGGAGAGATAGTATTAAAGAGGGAAGGAGGAAAAGGAAGGAATGAGGAGAAAAACCCTATAGAGAGAAGATCAAGGAAGAAGAAGTTTAACTTTCGATCCGAAAGTTTAAGGCAAGTTCTTCTTCTATCTCTTTCCCTTTGATTCGTGTTTCTGTACATGCCTAGGAAATTTCAGAATTTATTACACACATAAAATTAAATAATTATGCATGTTTAATTGGGTTAGAAAATAGGTTTTATGAAATTGGTTCATATCTGTTCTTGTGTTATGAATTGATAAAATGCATGATTTTGATTTGATTTCTTATGTGAATTTTTGCATGTTTAAATTATGTATTTTTCATATCTGTGGAATGATGGAACGTAGAAACATGCCTAAGATTCCTGAACATTAAATAGGGATTAGGTTTGGGTTTTAATAAATTTAAATAGACTCAATCATAATGATGCTTGCTATTTGAATGTTTTAAACAAACGAATGGATTTAATCTTTTAAAATATTTTAGCAATTGAGATTAAATGTGTAGGATGAATTGGATATGGAGAATCCTTATTTAACGGTATAATAAAATATCATCATGTATAAGATTCAATTTGTGTAGGACATATGATATAGGAAGTTTAAATAAATAATAAGTCATTCCTATTATGTGATAACTTGATATCATATTTATCATAGTTATTTATGGAATGTTTGATGTATTTCCTTAATTGTTACATCAATTGTTGGATTGTGTGGTTTAATGCACCGGTATGGGATGGTGGCATTCTAGGGATGGATTAACTTATTAGTTAAGTCCTACCTATTTTATATAAGGGAATAGATTAATTAAAATGTTAAGTCATACTTATATTTAAGTCTGGTCAGCTGAACAAGTTGAATGATTTATGGATGATTAATTTATTATATAAGGGAATGGATTAACTAAAATGTTAAGTCCTACTTATATTCAAGTCAGGTCAGCTGAACAAGTTGAATGACTTATGGAGGATTAATTTATACTGGATAGGATGGTTACTAGATTTTATATATATAAGCATGGTGCCATGATATGAGCTTGAGTCTTAGGATCAATGGTTAAGGCACGTATATCGCCAGGGATGTGTAACTAGATATAGTGTAGTTGTGTACCCTGGTAGGTCTAGGTACTCATGCCCACTATATGTGTATTTTGCATGTTGCCTACTATTCAGGTTGAGACAACTCTATAGTCTAGTGAGGTTCCTTTAGTGTGTATATATATATATATATGGACTACTAGTTACTGTTGGATTGATTAGGATGTATACGTGTATCGGATCTCTGCTTGGACTGTAGTAGAGTAGAACTTGTTTGTGGGTCTGACCCACCATTACTTTTCAGGTGTTAGTCACGAATAGAGGTTGTTCGTACTGAGCGGGGATCAGTCTACTTCATTCTTCCGATGCTACATAGGAGTTCCTTTATGATTCAGTTTCCTGTTTTAGATTACTGTCATTTGTTTAGTTTGGATTTTCTAGGGGTCCACACAGTATGGATTCCCGAGTTGTATTTTGGATGATCAGTTGTATCAGAAGAGTTTATTAATTAATGGAAATATATTATGAGGTTTATTATTAAATTATCATTTTAGTTTCTTGTCAGCATTTTATTTATTCTTCTTTATTCTTTTGTACTCTGTGTTCGTTTATTATCAATTTGTTTTGATGTCCTCGGGTATCACAGCTATTTAGTCATCCGAGTTAGGAAGTATATTGTTTTCTTTTTCGGACTCACTTCTTTCATCTTCTTGAAGGTTGTCAGATATATTAGAAACATCTTCTTTAGCACCGTGATTTTCCATGCTAAGCTCCATGTCGTGGGCTCGAGTAACAAGCTCTTCAAATGTGCGAGGCTTAATCCCTTATAGGATGTAAAGAAGCTCCCAGCGCATGTATTGCATACATGCTTCAAATGCAGAAATTTCAGACAAATGATCCTTATAGTCAAGACATAGAGCTCGCCAACGGTTGATGTAGTTAACCACGGGTTCACCCTTCATCTGTTTTGTGTTTGTAAGCTCTAGCATACTTACAGTACAATGAATGCTGTAAAAACGGTTGAGAAATTCTCGTTCCATCTACTCCCAACTGTCCCAACTTTGAGGTCTGTGTACCAATCAAATGCATTCCCTTTAAGGGAACGAACGAATTGTTTGACAAAGAGATCTCCGTTTGTACCAGCATTGCCGCAGGTTTCTATAAAGTGTGCCACATGTTGCTTGTGATTGCCTTTCCGTCAAACTGTTGAAGTTTTGGAGGTTGATACCCAATCGACATTTTTAAGATGTTAATTCTTTCTGTGTAAGGCTTTAAGTACATTCGAGTACTTTGAGAAACGCCATTGTATTGTTCTCTTGTGCAATTCACTATTATGTCTTGAAGTTGTTGGACAGAAAGTGAGGTGACGGAGGCAGTATCAATTATTGGATTGGCAGACACGTCATTTTGATCATTAATTGGAGTATTCTCTGGCATGGAATTAGAATGAGGAATCCGACCTTTGTTTGACTCAGCATTGTCATCACACAATTTTAACTTTTCTGTCAGTGAGGTAATTTTCAGATCTTGCTCCTGAGAGAGTATTGTAATCTTTCAATTGCACGGGCTATAGTCATCAATTGCTCTTCGTACGAGGTAGTACTCGTCATCATGACTGCCATAGTGATGGAGTCAGAAAAAATCTTTGGCCTTGGGTGGACCAGCCTTGAACTTGAACTTGTGACTGAAACAACCTTTGAAGTTGTAGGAACCTTCTTCATTGCCCTCAGCGGGGTGAAGGCGGTATGAGTTTAAGTTGTTACTTTGACAGATTTGGCGAAATCAACTCTCATCGCATCGTGTTGTCTGTTGGTAGGAATGAATGCTTTGACCATGCTCCACATCATGGAACTTGCAGAGATTTTTGTACTACTTGACGAAGTTGCAAACTTCTTGCCACCTTTTGTGGTGGTATTGATGTTGTCCGTCACGACTGCGATGTCTTTGGGGGTATTCTTCTTCTTCGTTTGAATCTTGTTGGAAGCCATGAATTCTGATGATGAGATTTGTTGAAGATTTGATGTAGGAGAAAGAGATGAGAGGCAAAAGATGTCCCACTGGGCATGCCAGAAATTTGTACACACAAATTTTGTAGTTTGCAAATAAGAACAAAATATGGAACAAAAATAATATTTTATAAAATTGAAAAAATTGGAATACAATTTTCTGTAATATTCTTTACAAAAAATAAGGACATCTGATTCGATCTCCTTTTTTTTTGTTGGTTGAATCCAAGGGCTGCATGAGCTTGATCTTGAATCACCGTGGAATTTAGATGAAGAACGACACGATTTGATGTGCTTGTTGTTGATCACCGTGAAATTTGATGAAGAACAGCACGGTTTAATGTGCTTGGTATTCTTCGTTTTTGGGTTTGGATGTTGGGGCAGAGTTTCTGTATTTTTTCTTGGAATTCTGCATTTCTGAATTTTGAATTTGTGTCCCTTTGAATTTTTGGACTTTTGAATTCTGAATTTGTATCTCTGAATTTCTGGCCTTCTGAATTCTGAATTTGTGCGTCTAAATTTCTGGACTTCTGAATTCTGAATTTATGTCCGAATTTCTGGACTTCTGAATTCTGAATTTGTATCCCTTCTGGATTTTTGAGTCTCTGAATTTCTGGACCTTTTGGATTTCTGTTGACACACCCCAACCTAATTTACTCTATTGATTAAAGTGAACCATTAGAATGTATCTAATCATCTGTATTAATCTCACACATACATGACGTCAGCATATATCAGAGTATCTGTTTAAAAGTTTACAATTTAAAACAAACTACATGCCCATTATACAATCTCGCCAAAACTAAAACGTTAATTACAAGTCATAATATTAAATTCTACTATAATATTTACATTTTATACAAAAGACGTTCCATTGTTATTTTCTCCAGTCACACTCAAGACTCTAGACCTGGCAGTAGCAACCCAATCTGATACCTGAAAAAATTATAAATATGGAAGGAATGAGCTTAAAGCTCAGTGAATGCAACACTACCACATCCGAGTAATATAAACAAATATTATCTGATAACGTCAATTAAACTTCATTAACATAGTACATGCATTAACATATAGTACTCTCCTTCTAGGCCAGAGTATGAACCTTATTTAAATATAGTACTTTCCTTCTTGGCCAGAGTATGGATCGTATTTACTGTAGTACTTTCTTTCTAGGCCAGAGTATGGACTTTATTTACTGTAGCACTCTCTTTCCAGGCCAGAGTATGGACCTTATATAATGTAATCAAGGTATATATATATATATATACATTCATCTTCAATTCACATAAACAGCTTCAATACTTCAATTAAATATATCCAAGTATAATATATATAGATATAGATATATAACATCAACACATATCCATAACACACCCAATCAAATTTGTCTAATCTAAAAGAAATTGACACCCCAATTAAGAAAGAACTAATAAATAAATAGAATTTATTTAAGAACAGATTCTTATATCAACTACAAGGGCTTCGAATAATAAATTTGAAGGATGAAGATGTAAAAGACTTATTTATATACCTATACTCCTCAGTCCTTGCTTACAGCTTTTGCGGCAACCCTTCCTTTTTCTTTTCTTCTCTCTATTTTCTTCTTCTATGGCCGGAACCCCTTCTATTTTTTTTTTCTTTTTTTTTTTTTTCTTTTTTTTTCTTCTTTTTTTTTATTCTTTTCAATTTCCATGTATGTCTTTAAAACTCTTCATTTACGCAGGTACAGGTGTATTGTGTGTGTGTACTGGCAGCTTAAAAACCCATGTGCTGGCAACAATTTCTCTCTATAAAACTTGAAACATCAATTCCTTTCTAATCTAGTAATATACACATATACTAGTCAAACCACAAGACTTATTTCAAACCATTAATTCAACTTAATAGAATACATAATATATATATCTAGAAACTTCAAGCACCAACAAGGAGAAGTGTGGAAACTTCCACATCTAGCATCATTTGCTAATATCTACAGTGTATATTTATATATATAATTTTATTATCTCATGGTCACACCCATGTACACTTAAAATCTCCAAATATTTCCAATAGAGCTATAAGTAGTAAGCTTGATACAAAATATAAAATTCACAAAATAACTACTCCATATCATATTCATCTATAAATCATGTCAAATTAAAATTAAATTATGCTAACCAAATTAATTTTTGTATCGAGGTATTATAATTCTTCCCCCCTTTAATTATTTCGTCTTCGAAATTAAAATGCATGAAACATACCGAACAAATGGGAATATTGCATTCTCATAGTTTCCTCGCTTTCCCAAGTCGCTTCTTCAACTGTGTGACTTCTCCACAATACCTTTACCAGTGATATAGTTTTATTCCGTAGCACTTGCTCCCGGCAATCCAAAATCTGTTCCGGTTCCTCTACATAAGTCAAATCTTCCTTCAACTCTATCAGTTCCGCAACTAAACACATGAAATGGATCTGATATATACTTCCGAAGCATAGACACATGGAAAACGTCATGTAATTTTGATAATTCTTCTGGTAATTCCAACCGGTACGCCACTGCTCATATCCGTTCCAGAATTTTGTAAGGTCCATTGTACCTGGGACTTAATTTTCCCTTATTTCCAAACCTCATAATACCCTTCCAAGGAGAAATACGAAGAAAAACAAAATCACCAACTTCAAACTCCAAATCTCTCATTTTTCGCACATCCACATAACTTTTCTGTCCATCATGTGCTACTTTCATACGCTGCTGAATTACCTTCACTTCTGGACCCAATAACTTTCTTTCACCCACTTCACCCCAACACAATGGAGTTCTACATTTCCTCTCATACAATGCTTCATATGGTGCCATCCCAATAGTAGACTGATAACTATTATTATAAGCAAATTCAATCAACGGTAAATAATCATCTCAACTACCTTTGAAATCCAGTACACAAGCTCTTAACATATCTTCCAAAATCTGAATCGTTCGTTCTGATTGCCTATCTGTCTGAGGGTGAAAAGCTGTACTGAACTTCAAAGAAGTTTTCATAGCTTCATGCAAACTACACCAAAATCTAGAAGTGAACTTCGGATCCCTATCACAAACAATAGAAACTGGAGCCCCATGCAAACATATGACCTCATCAACATACAAACGAGCATATTCCTTTGTAGAATAAGTAGTTTTCACTGCCAGAAAATGAGCTGATTTTGTAAATCTATCAACTACCACCCAAATGGAGTCATGTCCCCGTTTTGATCTTGGAAGTCCCGTCACAAAATTCATGGTTACATGCTCCCATTTCCATTGTGGAACTGGTAACGGCTGTAATAACCCCACTGGTTTATGATGTTTAGTTTTCACTCGTTGACATATCAAACACCTTGCTACAAATTCTGTAATTCCACGCTTCACATTGTTCCACCAATAGTATTCTTTTAAATCCCTGTACATTTTAGTACTCCCCGGATGCATAACATATATAGAACTGTGGGCTTCATCTAAAATATCTTTCTTCACAGAAACATCATTTGGAACACAAATTCAACTTTTAAAATACAAAATCTCATCATCCCTAACTGTAAATTCAGTTGGCATACCTTTTTGAGCTTCTCTTCTTTTCTTATCCAGGAATACATCATGAATTTGCAACTCTTTAATTTGATCTAACAACAAAGGTCTCATCGTAACATGTGCAAACAATGCTCCTTTGTTAGTAACTGTCAATTCAACTCCCATCAGTCTCAATTCCATAATATTTGCCACCCGTGCATACTGTACACAAGATAGTCTCCCTGAAGACTTCCTACTCAAAGTATCTGCTACTACATTGGCTTTTCTAGGATGATGGTGAATATTACAATCATAATCTTTGATTAACTCCATTCAACGTCTCTGTCTCAAATTTAAGTCCTTCTGTGTAAACAAATACTTCAAACTCTGATGATCTGTATATATTTCACAAATTTCACCATACAGATAATGCCTCCACAATTTTAAAGCAAAAACAATAGCAGCTAACTCCAAGTCATGTGTAGGATAATTCAATTCATGATTATTCAATTGTCAAGAAGCATATGCAATTACCTTGCCATTCTGCATCAAAACACATCCTAGACCCTGATGTGAAGCATCGGTGTAAATCACAAAACCTTCGCCACCACATGGAATAGTTAACACTGGGGCTGACGTTAACTTTTTCTTCAATTCTTCAAAACTTCTTTGGCATTCCTCATTCCACACAAACTTTACTTCCTTCAGGGTTAGCTTTGTTAATGGCAATGCGATACTAGAAAACCCTTGGATGAACCTCCAATAATAACCTGCTAATCCCAGAAAACTTCTGACTTCTGTCACATTAGTAGGCCTTTCCCATTTCACCACTACTTCCACTTTTGACGGGTCAACATAAATACCATCCCCAGATACTATATGCTCCAAAAATACAACTTTATCAAGCCAAAACTCACATTTGCTGAACTTAGTAAAAAGTTATTTTTCCCGTAAAATCTGTAACACAATTCTTAAATGTTTTTCATGTTCATCCACACTCCGAGAATATATTAAAATATGGTCGATGAAGACAATAACAAAAGAATCAACATATGGATGAAATACTCGATTCATTAAATCCATAAATGTGATACCCCTCGGATTCGAGACACGGGTTGATCAGGCCCAGGCCCAAACCTGAGGGATATCAAACAATTAATATGTTATAACGAACATGGAATACAAAGCGAATTTAAGAAATAACATTTATAAGCTGAAAGAATACTAAATTAAAAATCCTCAAAATTAAAATAATTAAAATCCAAGTTATTCAAACTCTGTAATACCCCTAGTTTTCAAAAGGATACAATGGGAATTTAAATTTTATTTTATTGCATTTTTATTTCATTATGTGATTTATGTGCTCATTTGCGTAATTATTTAATTGTTTCTTTAATTTTAAATTAATTGTGTATTTGTTCTTGATTCTAAATTACTTGTTTATTTGTTTTAAAGTAATTGTTTAATTTTAATAGTGTATTTGTTTTAAAGTAATTGTTTAATTTTAATAGTGTATTTATTTTAAAGTAATTGTTTAATTTTAATTATTTAGTTGTCTAAATTAATTGTTTTATTTGGTCCTGTATATGATATAGGATTAGGGTTTTATTTTTTTTATATAGTATGGACGCAGACTTATATTAGGTTTTAAATTAAACACGGTAAATATAGAGTTACGTAGATTAGGGTTTGGGACGTCTATATATATTTTTCTTTTGAGTCTGCTAGGGTTGGGAACAATCTTACTCACGTAATATTTATGAGAAAGAAAACAGAGGCTCTAGACTGGTCTTGAGAGAAACATAGAAGGTCTCGGGTGATTTTCTGTGAGGCTAAAGGAGGAAGACTGGAGGAAGAACAGAGGGGTTGCTTCTGGATGGAACCAAGAAGCAATAGAGGAAGGGAACTGGGAGCAGAGCAGAGGGGAAACAGACTTGGAGAATTCTGAAACTTAGAGACGACGCTTAAGGTTTCAAACTGGAATCGTGAGGCAAGTTTCAGTCTATTCCTCTCCTGTAAACTTGTGTTCAGTGCATCTTATATAGACTCCAGGAACTTAATTAAACGTTTAAAAATGGACTTTATGCATGCTAGATGATTTCGGTAATCTGTTCTGTGTTTTTTTTAACGTTCAAACTTATTCTTGTATAAGCTGTTGTGTGTAGTTTAAGTTTTTTGTCAATTGGTTCACACTGGAATAGGAGGAGTCTCTAGGGGTTTAAGAGCTTTAATGGAACCCTAATAATCTTAAAAAGGTCTAGAATAGGACACTGGACTTCGCCGGAATCACAGACGACAACCGGACGAAGCAGAACGGTGCAGTTGAAGCAGATGAGGCTCTCAAAGAGAGAGAGCCGGCTCTAGGAAGCAAAGAGCCGGCTCCCCCTCTATTAGAGCCGGCTCCAAGGGT